TCCTAAACTTCTGGAGGGCCACACTCATCATGGCGGGTGCTGTGGTTGGTGCCATGCTGTATCAGTCCCAAGGAGAGGTGAGAATGTGGTGCTTACTACTTTGGGGAGCAAGGAGAGAAAGTTCAGCATCTTCAGTTTCTATTTCTGTCATGAATATGCTGACAATGGTACCTCTGTGTGTTGTATCTGCAGCTGCTGCCACTGTGGACTTCAGGGTCCTCCCCACCCCCTCCAGCCTTGCAAAATGCCTGAGCCAGATATGGAGGAGAAAGAAAAGGACTCGGGATGCCATGTTTGAGGAGATCCTGAAAACAAGTGCTGCATCAGAGAATGGGGATGGGTCCTGCTTTTGAGCAGGGGGTTGGACTAGATGACCTCCTGAGGTCCCTTCCAACCCTGATATTCTATGATTCTATGATTAAAGGGCCTGGAGGATCACCCTTGCAGACAGCATGGACAAGCAGAGCCGTCCGTAGCGTACGGCCAGTCGGGGCGATCGCCCCACGCCCCAAGCTTTAAGAGCCCTGTGCTTTGTGAGCAGGTGGGTGCCCAGCAGGGAGGTGAGGAGGAAGACAGGCAGGTGAGCGGGGTGAGGAGGCGAATGGGGAGGTGAGCGGCAGATGGGCAGGTGGGGGGGGAGAAGGAGCCCCCCATCAACCTCCCCCTCCCCTCAGCACCTCCTGCCCGCCGATCAGTGCCTCCCCTTCCTCTCAGCACCTACCAGCTGCCGCGAATCAGTTTCACTGCATCTGGAGCACTGGGGAGGGCAAGGAGGGGAGAGAAGCGAGGGCACAGTGTGCTTGGGAGCAGGGACGGAACTGGGCAGCGAAGAGATGGGGTGGGGGCCAGAAGAGGTGGAGCGGGGGGGGTGGAGCGGGGTGGGAAGAAGCAGGGCTTTGGAGGAAGGGGTGGAGTAGAGGTGGGGCCTGGGCAGAGCTGGGGGGAGCACCCCCCAGCAGATAGAAACTTGGCGCCTATGTTCCAGGTCCCGCACCCCCCTAGGAACAGCTCTGTGGACAAGGATAGAGTGGAGAGGAGAAAGGTACAGGAAAAGGAGAGGGACGTGCAGCAAGAGATGCTTGAGCTTTTCAGGCAGCAAACAGAAATGCTGCAGACTCTCCCACAATCCCACACTCGTTTCCCTCTGCAACCCAAAGAGAACTCTATATTGTGACCTCTCTACCTTCCCCTCAACATTCCAATGGATGAGGGGCCGGTGCACTACCCTTACCACTCCACCTGGGGGATATATTAAAGAAAATAACAGCTACACATACACCAAATGACTATTTTCATCTTCATAAGTTCTGTTCCCTTAATTTATTACATTTTATTAAGTTCTAAATGTATTTTTTTATTTGCCTGGTTCATGTTAGAGAATTAAATTCTATTTTTTGGAACATAATTCATTTTTATTAGTTCTCAACATATGCTGTCTGGTGATGAGCAGGTCTGAAAGCGATCAATTTCTTGTCACTGCACTTTGTCACAGCACCCATAATATCATTCATAAACAATATTAATAGCTTCATGGACAATATTACATTCCTACATACACAGCAATCACTACAAGATTCATTCCAGGCCACAAAAGAGGAAGGCCAGGTAGAGTATACTACAGTAACACACACAACTGTGGTTCACTATTAAAATGGTCTTTCAAAGCCTCCCTGAGCCATATGCTCCTCGTTGAGATCTTCTTATAACCCTCTTATCTGGCTGTTCAAATGCAGCAGACAGCCACTCCACCTCCACCTTCCAACCCGGTGGAAACTTTTCCCCCTTCGCTTCACAGATATTATGCAGGACACAGTGGGCAGCTATAACCATTGGGATATTTTTCTCACTGAGTTCCAATCTTGTAAGCAAACAATGTCTTCAACACCTTGTAAGCAACCCTTCAAATGACCAGTGGCACATTCAACTGTCATTGTGCACCTGCTGAGACTGTAGTTGAAGCACTCCTTGGTACTGTTGAGGCTTCATCAGCCGTGGGAGCAAGGAGCAGGCTGGGTGACCCAGGATCACTATTGGCATTTCAACTTTCCCAATGATAATCCATTGGTTGGTAAAGAAAGTCCCTGCTTTCAGCTTTCTGAACAGTCCTGTGTTCTTAAAGATGCACGCACCTTCTCTGGCCAGCCCACACTGATGTTGGTAAAGCATTCCCGGTGATTTGCCTGTGCTTGCATAACCATAGAAAAGTAGACCTTTCTGTTGATGTACTCTATGACAAGATGGTCTGGTGCTAAAATAGCGATATGCATGCAATCTATTACCCCACCATAGTTCAGGAACCCCATCGCTGCAAAAGCATCCACTATGTCCTGCACATTGCCCAGAGTCACAGTCCTCCATAGCAGGAGGTAATTAATGGACCTGCACACTTGCATTACAATGGCCCTGTAGTGGATTTCTCTGACTCCAAAATGATTCCTGAGTGACTGGTAGCAATCTAGCATTGCAAGTTGCCACTGTGCAATCACCACTCGCTTCTCAACTGTCAATGCAGCTCTCATTTTGGTGTCTCCGCACAGAAGGGCTGGGGCGAGTTCCGCACACAGATCCAGGAATGTGGCCATGCACATCTGAAAGTTCTGCAGCCACTGTTCACCATCTCAAACCTGCATGACAATGTGATCCCACCAGTCAGTGCTTGTTTCTCAGGCCCAGAACTGGTGCTCCACCATCTCCAGCTGCTCCACAAACACCAACAACAACCCTGAATTGTTTCTTTCCATGTCTCACAGCAATCTAGCCTTCAAGAAATTGTCATGTTCCCCTTGGGTCCACAAATACTGCTGTAAGGTCACTGTGTCTCAGGGTGAGGGCAGCCCCTTCGGTGGTGTCAGGGAATCAGCACTCACGCTGGATTAGTTTATTGGGCATTCTGTCTTGCAGTTGAGCAAGAAATAGCGCAGGCCTCCTGGATGAGGGCTGAGCAAGTACACACTCAATAACTCCAGCCTTCAGGGTGGGGGCTAAGCCAAACAGTCCGTAGCTCCAGCCTCCAGGCCTAAGGGTTAGTGTTCACCCAGCCCCAAGTGCAGGGCCGGGGGTCGGAGGACCCAGGTCCATGCTGCTCCACACTGGGTCCCAGGCAAGGGCCCTATAAACAACAGGTGACCCTAGGTTCTCTTCCTCACCTCCTGGCAACACAACAGGACCAATGTCTCGTTTCCCTGGACTATATCCTACTGGCATCTGCTGGGGCTGCTCCACAGCCAGTGTGGCCTGGTTCCCAGTCTCCTTACCAGGCGGCCCATTCTGCACTCCCTCTTCGGGTCTCCAGTCTCCCAGGCAGCAGTTTGCCTTCTCTCCATGCTGGCTTGGGAGAGCCGTCACCCTCCACAGCCAGTCATGGGATCAGCTGGTGGTTCTGCTCCTGGGGAAGGATGTCTGGCTCCTTCCCTGGCCCAGCCCCAAATGAGCTGCAGGGCCCTGCTGTTATACTTCCTGTCCTGCCCCCGCCCTTCCTACAAGGGAGACGGGGCAAGGTTAGCTGAGCCCAACAAGGAAACTTAACTCCCTCTGCATTGGAATGAGGCCACTCCGCCTCATTATAACTGCAGGATCTGGTGCCCCATATTTGCATTGCTCATGACAATAGTGCAGAGCAGCGCAGACTCCATGCTTCTGTCAGAGATGGCAGGCAGCAAGGAGGGATGCACGGGTTTGTGGGACTGTGAAAAGAAGGTGTAAAATGTTATGTGCTGCAGATAAAATTATGGGATGAAGAACACCATATTATGGGAAGTTGACCCCATGCTCCCAGTCACCCCTGCACAACTCGTTTCGGCCCATCAGGCATTGCAAGAACTTCCCAAAAGACCCTGTGCTGAAGGTGGTGAGTTGCATGGTGGGATACCTACCCATGGTGCACTGCATTTTGCACTGATACACGAGGATGCACAATGCCGACACAAGGAGCCAAGTATGCACACACACAAGCCATTTAATAACAATGGCGGCTGTGTGTCAACGTAACTTAGATCGACATAATTTTGTAGTGTAGACATGGCTTGTGTCTCAGAGAAATACTTAAACTCCTCTCACACTCTGGTTGGAGCTAATAAGATCCACCTCCCAGCATGAGATAGCAGTAGCTACTCTGCAGGATTCTAGCACCTGAGCAAGGATGGCTATACAAAGGGGCCCATCATTCTTAGTCAGGGTACTAGAAACTGCCACCCATTTACAGAAGAATGTTGAAAAAACTGGAAGGTGATCAAAAAAGAGACACAAGAATGACCTGCGATCTGGAAAACCTTCCTTACACTTTTCAGAGTAGCAGCCGTGTTAGTCTGTATTCTCAAAAAGAAAAGGAGGACTTGTGGCACCTTAGAGACTAACCAATTTATCTGAGCATAAGCTTTCGTGAGCTTCATCCTTTGATGCTCAAATAAATTGGTTAGTCTCTAAGGTGCCACAAGTACTCCTTTTCTTTTAGCTTATCTAAAGTGATCACTCTCCTTACAATGTGTATGATAATCAAGTTGGGCCATTTCCAGCACAAATCCAGGTTTTCTCACCCCCCCCCCCACAAACTCACTCTCCTGCTGGTAATAGCTTATCTAAAGTGACCACTCTCCTTACAATGTGTATGATAATCAATATGATATGATCAGTATGATAATGGCCCAACTTGATTATCATACACATTGTAAGGAGAGTGATCACTTTAGATAAGCTATTACCAGCAGGAGAGTGGGGTGGGAGGAGGTATTTTTTTCATGCTTTGTGTGTATATAATAAGATCTTCTAAACTTTCCACAGTATGCATCTGATGAAGTGAGCTGTAGCTCATGAAAGCTTATGCTCAAATAAATTGGTTAGTCTCTAACGTGCCACAAGTACTCCTTTTCTTTTTCCTCTAGATAGTTAATGTTCCATTGCTTATCACACTCACCAGTCACTAGTTTAACAACATATCTAGGCTACAAGGAGTAAGGACCTGTACTGAAGACTTAATATAGACCCAGTTCTTTCTGGCTACTCACCACTCTCAGCACTGGAAGACAGAAGTCACCATGCTAATGTGAGGCCCATGCTTCCCATAAAGGAACCCTCTCCCAGCAAGTGCAGTTCCTTCCTTTCACATCAAGCAGGGTTGAAAAGTGAGTGCTCGCTCACACAGGACGCTGAGGTGATTAAATAGTAAGCCGAGTTCTTAGTTATCAGCTGAGATGCACTTAGGCTTATCTTAGTCCTTTGTAATGTTATTCCAACAACACTGATGGGGGGCTGGGGCTGTGTGTGTGAAATGCTGTGGGACAGGTCCAGTCCTTGTGTCTAGAAAGGTTTTCTCAGTGATCACACACATAATGTATGGCAGACTGCTCTGTGCGTGTGTGTGCGTGCATGAACACGTGTGTATGTGTTGGGGTGAAGGGGGAGTGGTGCACTGACACTGCTGCTGTGGGGTTAATTCCTTTCTCCAATAAGTATTTTATTTTAAACCAAATATCACCAACAGCTGTCCTGTGAGCAGAAGCCCCCGGTTCACCCACAGTTTATTCTGTGGCAGGAAAATGCGATGCCAACAACACTCAGAGCTGCTGCATAAGATGGTAGATACCCCCGACAGGAGAAATCGCTTCCATTAAAAAGTCTGGTTATTTCACATTAAGTTTTAATTTAACAAAACAATTACCCACTTTCTTCAGAGAAGGAGAACATGTTATAGGAATAAAGAATCTCTATAACCATTAACTTTGGCCCCAGTAAAGAAGAGGTCAGATTTATTTTCCATGAACCGTGCCTGCCAGACTTTTTTCCTTGTTCCATTCTACTGGTTTTCATCAGGTCACTCTTGCAATAATTCAACCACAAAAAAAAAACTTAAAAAGAAAAGGTAATTGAAATGTCAATGTACAAATACAAGGGAGAAAAACATCAGACTTAGGGCTAAAATTCTGCCCTTAAGCCATTCAACGTAGGTACTGCAGAAACAGAGTTCTAAGATTCCTGCAATAAGCAAGGAAAAATATGGCAGTTTTAAAGATAATTTATCCCTTTATGTCCTGGCATAAGCCTGGCACAACCCCACTGAAGTCAACAGAGCTGCACAGAAGAAGGGTAATTCAAGACTGATATTTTGGGCCAAACTTTTCTCTGAACACCCTTCATTTTATGGCTTTATGTCAGATCACTAATTCACTAAGAGCATTTTAACATAGTCTTTTGCGTTTTTATTTATTTGTTTATTTTGATGGATGAGGGAACAGGTCCAAGAATATTGCATCAGTGAAGCTGCTACAGAGTATCTTGGGAATGTTCGTTATAGATACACCACACACACACACACACACACACACACACACGTAGAGTATATATGTGCCCAAATCTGATAGGAACACAAAGGAAGAGTCTGAAAATTCCTCAGAAGGAGACAGATTGGGGGAAGCAAGAGGGAAGTGGAAAAAACAAAACAAAATTGACCCCAATACACAACAGAACCTCCAAAGTTTCCTCTGTGAACAACAAACTGGGCCAGATTCTGCCTTCAGGTGTGTGCAGGCAGGTTTAATTCAGCATCCTAGGTGGGGCATCATAACTCATTTTAGCTCTACATAGGCCTTATCCAAAGCCCGTTTGACTTCAATGGGCTTTAGATCAGGCTCTATGTGGTTGCCAGAGGGCACTTTTGAAAGCACTCCTTGGTGCTGTGTTGCAGCTGCCAGGCTGCTCAGTGAAGTCTGTGTGCCTTTGCACTATACAATCTCTGGCAGTGCGGTAATTGCCCCATATCAGTTGGAAGAGCAATTCTATTACACTTACAGCTACGAATGACATAGATTTGCAAAAGTACGTTTATTTTGCTCTGATTTTAAAGTCTCATTTGTATACGAGAGGGGGGGATGGCACAGCTGCTACTGTCAAAGCAGTGCATGGGAGTACAATTTGGCCCCAAGAGTAAGAGACAATGAGGAAATGGCACAGAAATCTCCACACACTTTATACTTACTCTTGCACCCAAACTACCAGTGTGGAGCTGGTACCTGAATTAAGAAATGCTGGAACCTCCAGACAAGTGAACAATGCCCTAGGGTCTAACAATGCAAGTGAAACCACAGAGGAGAAGTTGGTGTCAACTAACATAAAGCAGCATGCCTGCTGTGGAAGGTGGTGGGTGGATACAGCAGTGATGAAACTTGTGATACAAGTTTTCTTAGTTCAGTGATCACTAACCTGTTGATTGCGATCGACTTAGGGTGACCAGATGTCCCAATAAAATCGGGACTGTCCCGATATTTAGTTGTTTGTCCCGCATCCCGACCATGCCATTTGTCCTGATATTTTGGCTAGGGGCTGGAGGAGTACACTGGTGAGCACTCACCTGGGGTCCCGGCAGTGCTTATTTGGGGCGGCTCCCAGGAAACGGCGGGCAGCAGGACCCTGCAGCCTCTAGGCACGGGGCAGCCGGGGGGGGAGGGGTGTCTCTGCATACTGCACCTACCACAAGCGCTGGCTCCATCGCGGCCAATGGGAGCTGCGGGTGCAGACAGGGTGCAGACACCACCCCCTGGGGCGCTGAGTGCTACTCATGCCCCCAAGTAAGTCCCACCCCTACAGCTTCCAGTTAATGGCAGCTAGAGCCAGCGCTTGTGGCAGCCGCAGCACGTGGAGTTGAGACCCCGCTGGCCACCACTGACCCTAGGAGCCAAAGGAACCTGCCAGGTGCTTCCCAGTGGGTGGGAACAGTCCCCCAGGTAAGCGGCAGCACTGCGTCTGGGGCCCTCAGCAGGGCTGCAGGTGGGAGCTGGGGCCATGTGCTTGTAGCAGGGGTCGGGGCCAGGCGCCCCCAACCCGCGGTTTGCAGCAGGGCTGGAACAGGGGCCGTGAGCCCCCAACCTGCGGCAGGAGCGGGGACTGTGCACCCCCGACTTCCTCAGGCTGTGTATCCCCCTTCCCCCATGGCTCCAGTGGGGTAGGGGCTGTGAACCTCTGGCTGTCCCTCCCCCGCGATGTGTTCTGATATTTTATTCTTGTCATCTGGTCACTCTAGATCAACTTGTTGATCCTGGAGACTCCCAGTCGATTGCAATCTCCGGTGGTGCAGCAGCACTGCTGCTGAGGCAGGCTCCCTGCCTGCCCAGGCCCCACACTGCTCCTGTGAAAGTGAGTGATGGTGGGGGAGAGCAAGTGACAGAGAGAGGGGGGAAATGGAAAGAACAGGGTGGGGCTTCGGGGAAGGGGCAGGGCCTCAGGGAAGGGGTGGGATAGATCCTGGGCTGCCCTTAAATTCAAAAAGTGATCTTGGGCGTAAAAAGGTTGGAGACCACTGTCTTGGTTGATAAATTGCAGAATTCAGCCTCACATTTCTTCCCTCAGATGCACATTGCCCTCAGCCATGGGCATGTTCATACCAATTTCAGTTTGTTTTGTTCAGTTCTGTCTGTTCCTGTGGTTCATTTGTAGTTCCTCTGAACAGAACATTAACAAAAACCAATGAGAAAAAATATTTTGCTTTCTGAAAACGCTGTGGGTGAGCACAACTAAAATGTCAACTGCCATGACATGGTGTATGGCTAGGCGTATGCTACAGCTGAGGCCAGCTTTGCTTCATTCTTGTTATTATCCAACTCTCTTTCGAGTTTTGCAAATGATTAGCAGGACACTACACTAGAGGGCTATTGGGCCATTCTGGAGTAACAAATATGTTCCTCTTTCCTCTCCCCTTCCAGCTTCTGTCCTACAAATAAATACACACACACACACACACACACACACACACACACACACGATGTGCCCACACGTATATTCCTAAACAGAGGCACCAACTTTCTGCTTTCCCTGGAGGTGCTCCACGCCTGCCCCTTGCCCCAAGGCCCCACCCTCACTCCGCGTGTTCCTGCCTTACCCCACCCTCTCCCCTGAGGCTTCACCCCACCTCTTTCCATCCCTGCTCTGCCCCCTCTCCTGAGCATGCCCCATCCTCACTCTGCCTCTTCTCACCCCTGCTCCTCCCTCCTCCCCCCAGCTGATTGGCGGCAGGCAGGAGGCACTGGAGGGGAGGGGAAGGAGCTGATCGGTGGGGCCTGCCAAACAGCTGATCAGTGGGTGGTTGGTGGGTGCTGAGCACCCACTATTTTTTTTCAGTGGGTGCTCCAACCCGGGAGCACCCACACAGTCGGCGCCTATGTTCCTAAATATTACATAGTTCATTAAGTTTGATGGGATTGTTTACCCTCCAAATCATGACACCTTTCTGTCCAGTTCATGCTGGTCAAGTCACAGCACAAAAAAACCATCTGTGACGGAATTCAAGGGCATTACCTGGTCTCCAGTAAAGAAGGGGTTAAATCAAGCTCAGCTTTTCCCACCTCTTGACAAGGTGCTCAAGACTAAGATTGCTGTTTGGGAGGCAAAGGGAGAGAATGCCTTTAGGAAGTGAGGGCTCCACACCTAGAGGCCATGGGACTGGGTTGAACCCCAGGGTACAAAAGGGATTCTACAAAAAGTGGAAACCTGGACAGATTGCGAAGAAGGAGTACAAAAGAATATCACAAGCATGCAGGGACAAAAATCAAAAAGGCTAAGGCACAAAATGAGTTACACCTAGCAACGGATATAAAAGAAAATAAGATGTTCTTTAAATACATTAGGAGTAAGAGAAATACAAAGGAAAGTTTAGGTCCTCTATCCTAGTGGGGAAGGAGAGCTAATAACTGATGACATCAAGAAGGCTGAGGTGTTTAAAGCCTATTTTGCTTCAGTACTCACTAAAAAGATTAATGGTGAGCAGATACTCAGCAGAACCAATATTAACAAGGGGGAAGGAATGCAAATCAAAATAGGGAAGGAACAAATTGAAGTACATCTAGAAAAGGAAGATATATTCAAGTCAGCAAGACCTGATGAAATTCATTCTAGGGTGCTCAAGGAACTAACTGAAGCAATCTCAGAAGGGTTAGCAATTCTCTTTGAGAACTCCTGAAGGCCCCAGAAGTCTGGAGAAGGGCAAATACAGTACATATCTTTAAAAAGGGGAACAAAGAGGACTGAGGCAATTACAGACCAGTCAGCCTAATTTTGATACCTGGAAAGGTACTGGAAGAAAACAACATAGTCTGTCCATCCATGTAGTGGGGCCACAGCGGAAAAGTTTGTTAACATACACGGAGATGCGTGAGGGACCTGTCTCTGGAATCCTCCATAGTGATCTCTAGGACACTTTCCTGTAGGTATTCTGCCAAAGGTTTGTGGAAGAAAAACACAGTCTTCACTCTTAGGTTGTTTGCAACAAGTCAGAGACAGTTTATTCTCTAGCAATTGCAAGGGGCAGAGTGCGCACGGACAGGGATTCCCCCTTCCTAGGCAGGTCTCCGCCAGATAAACAATTAGGGCAAGCATTTATACCTTTTGTTGCATACAATAATTATCAACAGCCACATCTTGTTTATACATATTCCTTCCTGATATCTTACTTTTCTAAGAAGTTCCTGCTACAGTCTGTGTTCCATTCTTATCTAACACAAGGTCAAAACAGCATCTCTTACAGTTTTCCCACTTGCTTCCCACTCACCCAGGCCCTGCCTTAAAGTCTCGCGTTATTAGAGTTAGAGTTAGCCTGACTCTTGCTCTATTCCTAAGAAAACTAAGATGTCTGCATCCAAATTCCCTTTATCCCTTTTTCCGCTTCCACAGGTTCCTTGGGAGAGCTGTCTTGTTTCTCTCCCCGCTGTAGAAATCTTTGCCGTGCCACGTGGCAATTATTTCTGCAGAGACCAGAGCGGCATACAAGCGAGTGGCATACAGAGCTGGTCTGAAGCCACATGCATGCAGGAGATGCACCCTGAGTTACCCTTAGGAGTGAGATGTCGGGTTCGATTACCCTAGCCTGTGGAAACGGATACCAATATTCAGAATAGGCGCCCTAGCTGCTTATAGTAACCATCTTTGCAAACCGCCCTTTGTCCCTTCCTGCCCTTTCCCTCTTGCCCACCCCCCCCTTCCCCGCAAATTCACCATAATTGGAACCCATGGTGACCTGTGTGCTAGCCAAAGGGCAGTGAGAAAAAGGTGTGCGTAACTTTTGTGATTCTCGGCTGTGAGCGCCCTCACAATACTTTCTCTGTTAATTGTTTCTTTGCCTTCTGCAGATGTGCCCTTGAGAACACACTCCTCCACACCAGCTGAGTACCTACATCAGATAAGGTGGCGACCCAGGAGGAGGAAGGAGAGTCTGTTGTGTGAGGTGCTGCAGCCAACAGATGCAGCACAGAGCAAAACAAGAGCATGGAGGAAGACAATAAATGAAAGACTACAGCTGGATAGCCCCGAAAGGACACAGGCAGGAGTGGATGATAAAGCTCCTCGAGGACTAGAGATGTTGAAGTCCCTGATTGGCCTGGAATCCCAGAAAATCCTTCGATTTGCAAATATTATGGAGAGTATAACAGGCCGCAATGACCATTGGAATATTTTCCTCATTGAGGTCTAACAGGCCAAAAAGACAGTGCCAGCATCCTTTTAATCAACCAAAGGGACATTCAATGATCATTTTGGCACCTGCTGAGCCTGTAGCTGAAATGCTCCTTGCTGCTGTCTAGGTTCCCAGTGTAACACTTCATGAGCCGGGGAGCTAGGGATATGCAGGGTCGCCTGGGATCACTATGGGCACTTGCATATCCCCCCTGGAATCTTCTGGTCTGGGAAGAAAGTCCCAGTGTGCAGCTTTCTATACAGTCCAGTGTTCCGAAATATGCATGCGTCATGCACCTTCCCTGACCACCCGGCATCAATGTTAGTGAAACATGCCTGGTGATCCACCAGAGCCTGCAACGTCATGGAGAAATAGCCCTTTTGATTGATGTACTCCATCATAAGGTGGTCGGGGGCCAAAATAGGGATATGCATTTCCTCTAGCCTGGTCGCAGTTAGGGAATCCCATTGCCTCAAAGTCATCAATTATTTCCTGCACGTTACTGAGAGTCACAATCCTTCGTAGCAGGAGGCGATTAATGGCCCTGCACATTTGCATCACTGCAACCCCCATGGTGGACTTTCCAACTCCAAACTGATTTGCGACTCACCGGTAGCAGTCAGGAGTTGCCAGGTTCCAATCAGTGATCGCCTGTCGCTTTTCCACAGTGAGGGAAGCTCTCATTCTGGTGCCCTTGCACCACAGTGCTGGGGCAAGCTCTGCACACAGTTCCAGGAAGGTGGCTTTGCGTGTCCGAAAGTTCTGCAGCCACTGCTCATCATTCCATACCTGAATCATGATCCAATCCCACCGCTCAGTGCTTGTTTCCCAAGCTCGGTACCAACGGTCCACCATGGCAAGCTGTTCCGTGAACATCAGCAGCAATCTTGAATTATTTGTTTCCATGGCAGACAGCAGGGCAGCCATCACTGATTCACTCCTGTTTTGCAGCTCATGAAATACTGCAGGACCAGCCGTGTTGTGTTCAGGATATTCACAATGGTCAGCAGCTCAGGATCCATGCTGCGAGACTGAGATGGCAGGTGCACAGTTTACAAGGGCTGTTGAAAAACAGTGCAAAATGAAGTAAGAAGTAGAAAGCTCATGGAATGATGGGACAGAAAGAACTGCATCACAGGACAGCAAGCACATCACCATGATGCACTGTGATCCATTCCCAAAGCTCCCAATGCAGTGGCAGAGGCTGGTGAGTTGCACAATAGGTTAGCTACCGATGATGCAATGCTCTCTCTGTCAACGCAAGAGCAACGACTGTGGATGCGGCAATGTTATTAAAGCGATTTATGATGGTCGACAAAACTTAAGTTAAGGATTAGAATTCAAAATGATCGTGACAAATTGTAGAATTGGGCTGAAATCAACAAGATGAAAGCCAATAAAGACAAGTGCAAAGTACTGCACTTAGGAAGTAAAAATCAAATGCACAACTACAAAATGGGAAATAACTGGCTAGAAGTATTGCTGAAAAGGATCTGGGGATTATAGGCGATCACAAATTGAATATGAATCAACAGTGCGATGCAGCTGCAAAACAGGCTAATATCATTCTCGGGCATATTATCAGGAGAGTCAAAGGTAAGATATGGAAGGTAATTGTTCCACTCTACTCGGCATTGGTGAGGCCTCAGCTGGAGTACAGTGTCCAATTCTGGGCACCACAGTTTAGGAAAGATGTGGATAAATTGGAGACAGTCCAGGAAATCTGTTCTCTTCGTACCAACTCTGTCACTCTATTACTTTTTGGAAAGTACATTGGAGTAGTTCCTCTAAACCAGTGTTTCTCAACCTTTTTAATACCAGAGTCCGGCTTGCTGCCTTCATAACTGTGTCAGGGAGATCTCAGGGACCAGTGTCTGTCCATCGATCGGTCGCTGAGAAAAACATTGCTCTAAACAATTATTGACTCCAAAGGTCTTTAGTTAGGAGTCTGGTCATTTTTTTCCAGCTTTTCCTGACCTTGAGACTTATTTAGAAAGTCTGTGCTCTATTACTGAATAGCATATTTGCATAAAGCAAATGAGAAAGGAGTCCGGATGTAACTGGATTTGCTATAAATGTGAATGTTCATGCATGAACTGATAAGCACAAGGATAACATGGTCGCACATTCCAACTTTCCGTATATATTAGTGCAAATCAAATGGCTCCAGGTGATTTCTGAAATGAACAAAATCCTGCTCTCAGTCTGGAACTGTTACTTATTAACTACTCAGATAGGTTTACATTCCTCTTACTTCACAATTTAATCTGTTATTGATTTCATAGGTCTAACACTCAGGGAAAGAAAACAGACTAAGGAAGACAAATAAATCTTTGTTTCATAACCTACTCTACTGTGTGTGCACATTCGAAAAAAGACCTGACACCAGACAAGTTATATCTAATATTACTTCTGCAATGCCCAGGCTGCTATCCTCATTCGTGATGATTAACGATTAGCAGAAAAAAATATTGTTTTGCAGCTTCAGATTAATTGGGATTGGAGAGATTTCCCACAGAATCCTGTGAATGAGAAGAGCTCCCTCCCCCCATTCTCAACACAGCACTCCCAGGGTTAGTACCCAAACTACACCAAGCAACAATACAAACTTGGTTTAAGCTTTCTTATGCTCTTGACTTGCTCCTAGGGTTTCCCCATACAACATCCTTCTGTCCCTGCCCGAGTTCCCTCTTACCACTCAGAGACAAACCCTTATATACTCTGGGTTTGGAGATACTGAGCCCTGGTTGGTCAGCCTCCCAGTGTAAACCACCATGAGTCACCAGAACAGTCCTGCTCTCCCTTCAGGGTCCCAAACCCAGACATACTATCACTGCCTATAGGCCATATCCACATAATGACAGCAGACTCTATAAAACATCACACAGGTAAAGTCAAAGTGGACCTGGCTGCCAGGATGATGGTGTTTGTGCTCTGAGCAGAAAAGAGGCTACTGTGAGCAAAGACACTGAGCAGGTTGTGAGTATGGTCACTGTCCCATTTTCCCTGTGCATCTGCTAGTGCCAGGAGACCAGAGTTAGAGTGAATTAATTCTGTGGCCTTTTGCAGAATGCAGTAATTATTGCTTCTGAGTTTGTTCCTCCAGCACCTTCAAGGCATTCTGCATCCTCTGCAGTCAGAATGCTGATTCCCATGCAAGCACTGTTCCTCTGTAGAGTACCACTGGCTCTCAAAGTCAGAATCTAGCCCATAGCTTCCTTTCACATATCTTATTTTTGATGCACAGATATAACTACAGTATATGGTATGGTATGATATCAAGTCAGCTTTAAGTCAGCAGTATGTCAGCCCTCAATTCTGGCTACAGCTCCCAGTAATAAAGTAAAAGGTCCAGGCATACAGCAGAGTACTTCTTTTCCTTTCATGAACTCAAAGATGCAATATTAAAATGGGTAAGGCTGGGTAGCTTGCAATGTAAGAGCAGCCAGAGTAAGATTCTCCATCTCACTGCATATCCACATCCATGCAAAGTCCCCTCACTGTGCCTATTGTTATTTCTGGAAATACTGCATGCACAGCAGATCAGTAAGTGAAAGGTAGGAGCTCCCAGAGAGGTACTGCAGGCAGTATGTTATTAATTTAGCTGCTTTCAAAGGAGAATCTCAGGTCAAATTTGGCACATAAGTTAGGTTTTATAAAACTAAGAATTTATTATACCTAAGATCAATATCTGGAGAAGTCACTGCTGATCTAGTCTTTCTTCTGAGTATTTTCATTATCCTACTCCTAGTACCAACCAGAAAAAAATCCCTACAGGTAAGGAAACACACTCCTCTCTTACTTAACTGCTTGTTTGAAGAAGTTTGTCTTCTTACCAAATGACAGTGATTTTGGAGACTCACACAGCAGGACTGGAGACTGGTAGTAAAGTACATGGACCTGTGTGTAACGGTGCCCCCCATAAGGCTTTATGAAAATATGCTTATGAATGTATATATGACATAACTGAAATATGTTTTATGCTACATATGCCATGTAACATATCTCTGTGAAGGTTATGATCTACTGAATTTATTCATCCTATTTATATGCATGTGTTATTATCATAGTCAAAGTTATGAAAATTGGATGTATACTTGTTTGATTTTAAATAACCTTAGTAAGGCATTTGGTCAGCTTCTTTAGAAAGGAATGTACAAATTAAGTGCCCAATCAAGAAACACTTAAAGGACAATGAATCTTGGAAGGCTCCAATTCACATAAGAAGTCTACCTGAGGACGTTCAAGGTAGCATGTGATGGCTGCTGCCTGTAAAAACTGAGTCATGCATCGACATGTGACTTGCCCATGTGACTCCAAAACTCCATTTTGTAGCTGGATTCTACACAGGGGGAGGGAGGGGTGTCCACCCACAAGATAAAGTCTATTTAAACCCCTGGGAGACCCCTCCATTTGGTCTTCAGCTGGCTAAAGAGATAGCCTCTCCACCCCCAAGGATACCTGAAAGAAACTAGAACAAAAGACAGTAACTACAGGGGGTGTGAGTCATTGCTGGACCCAGACTAGAAGGAGACTAGTCTATAAAAGGAAGCTTACAGGAATTCCTCTGAGGGTGAGGTTTGATTTGTATTCAGTTTTCTTAGACATAGACTTGCGTGTTCTATTTTATTTTGCTTGGTAATTCACTTTGTTCTGTCTGTTACTACTTGGAACCACTTAAATCCTACTTTCTGTATTTAATAAAATAACTTTTTACTTATTAATTAACCCAGAATATGTATTAATACCTGGGGGAGGAGGGCAAACAGCTATGCATACCTCTCTATCAGTGTTATAGAGGGCAAACAATTTATGAGTTTACCCTGTATAAGCTTTATACAGGGTAAAACAGATTTATTTGGGGTTTGGACCCCATTGGGAGTTGGGCATCTGAGTGTTAAAGACAGGAACACTTCTTAAACTGCTTTCAGTTTAAGCCTACAGCTGTTAGGGTACTTGGTTCAGACCCGGGTCTAGGTTTGCAGCAGGCTAGTGGGTCTGGCTCAAACCAGGCAGAGCACTGAAGTCCCAAGATGGGAGGGCAGGGAAAGCAGGGGCAGAAGTAGTCTTGGAACATCAGTTGGCAGCCCCAAGGGGGTTTCTGATCCAACCCATCACACCGTGAAACACCAAGTCCTGAGAAATATAGAGGTTTCTCCTGCTCCTATCTTCCTACTGAATGGACTGTTCCTGTTAGTTATTTAAGATCTTTAAAGGGTTAGACAGAGGAAACTTGTTCTCTTATTGATAGGGCTCGTTACTGAATGGCTCACCCTCACTGTGGAAAAGGTGAGTCAGAGAACTTGGCAACTAATGGAATGCTTCTTATGGTAGTTTTCCCTGTTGGGAGTATGACATGTTCCTAGAGTGAGGGGCAGGGATGGAGAGCTTTCTTGGGCTTCAGCCTAAGAGGGCTTTGAGAGTTGCAGTGGATGTGATGACTTGTTTCTAGGCGTACCTCTTGAGGTTAGCCATGGTGCCTTGGGTTCTAGCACAAGTGGTGATTTTTAGGCCTGAGCCTGACACAATCCCAGGATTTCTATAATGGAAGAGCCAACTCAGGCACAGCATAGTGAGACACAACATGCATGATCCAGAATTAGACATGACAGGCCAAATTTTCAAAAACAGAGCTTTACAATTTACCCGGACTACACGTGCAAATCACACAAAGGCAAGTGAAAAAGTCTAATTTTAGGAACTTAGCTAGACAAGTGTACTTGCAATTACCTCCTTTAAGGGTGCAGTAGCTACAGCCACAATCATGGGTGCGGTTTTGCACGGTTTCTGCATTTTGAAAATTAGGGCCTAAAATTCACATTGCCAAAGAGCTCACCCCTCTCATATATGAGATGCAAGCATACCTGTTCCACCCTCAAAACCTGTTCATCTTTTTCCACCACATTGTCTTTTCTGCATACAAAATGAAGAACTGCACACACAATCATTTTATGGGCACAAAGGTATGCTTTTCCAGCTGTACTCATTGTACCCAACTTAGAAAATTAGCATTAAAATACAGGACATGAAATACATGGCCCATGCTCATTACACCTTATTTCAAAGCCTTTAACTCTATTTATTGACACGCAGAAAGAAAAATATTCACTGGCCTTGCCTCTTTACTTGTACAAGCAATAAATCCAACTATAGTCAGATCTTGTTTATCTGTGCACAGTTGGGGGACAGGAATATAGCATTTGGCAGAAGGAGGGACATCAGTGTTTTTGACACACAATGGGAGACATGACCTTTCTTCATATAGACCAAAATTATCGCTGATCAGGTACTTTGGGTAAACAGCTTCTAACTATACTTTTTTTAATTGAAATGCTTGTACTAAATAAACTAATTAGAATACACAATGAATTGGTTTTTAAATATGGTCTTTGCATTAACAATCAGACTGTACAATATTTTATACAGGGAAATGGAATTAGTGGGTTAATGTTTAAATGTGTACAGTGATCCAAGTGTTTCCACTCTCCTGATCTGGCCTTGATGTCAATCTCCACTAAAGAGTGGAACAGAAATTCTAATTACTGTACATATTGGTCTGTCATTATCTGGTAAGTCATTCTTATTTCTGTCTTTCATTGTGAATTGCAGGGGCAAGCTCTGAGTTCCCAACCCTCAAGAGAAGAAAATTGCAAAGGAAGTTCACCAAGCCCAGCTGTGTCCTCTGGGGTGCACATCCTCCTGAAGGTTAATTTACTCATTTCACTGTTTTGAACTTGCTCTGGCACAAAGAAGGAAGCTCACAGATGACTTCTGAAATCAGTAGGAGTCTAATGAAAATAGGAATAACACCTGTGGGGAAAATACCTTGGTCTTGATGCTGATCTCAGTTACACTAGTGTAAATGAAGAGTTATTGAGAGGAAGTCAGAGGCCAGATCTTAATCGCTCTAAATCTGCATAGCTCCATTGACTTTAATGGAGCAACACTGATTTACACTAGCTGTGACTCTGGCCCAATGGAGTTAAACTGGTGTAAGAGACAGAAAAGTTAGAAGTCAATCTTATCAGAAATAAATCACTGTTCAAAATTAAATTACAGAATCCTATTTTCTGTTTGTTACCCATGTCATGAACAAGTGTTAAGACTCTGGCAGTTCTATGAAACTTTCAGCTTATGTCTGTAGCGTACTCTGATTGTACTACAAATTTCTATTAACCATATTTTTTTAAAAAAATGCATTTGTTAAAAAATAAAAGGAGTACAACTCTGTGTAGAAAGTTGTCAGCTGCTGAATATATTTGATGGTCCTATCATAGTGCTTCTAGTGGGTCGAGTTATCAGATGTATTTTTCTCAAGTCAACATATTAAATGAGGAAATGGAATTGGCATTTTGATTATGACTGTAGAAAGGATAACATAGGGGTTATTGAAGGACTCCGAGAAGTATAATTGGACTCTTTCAGCATGCAGGAGAGACAGTGCTCAGGGAATGAGGGATGTGTAGTGAATGAGGCTATTGTCTTTAGGACCCCTACTCATTTGTTGAAGACTTGGGAGATGTGTAGTGAATGAAGCAGGGCATGGCAAGAAGAGAAAGGAAGGTCTCATGGTTAAGTCAGTTGAATGCTGCCCCAGGAAACTGGATTTTCCCTGCCTTTGCCACTGACCTTGACCAATGAGAGTAGGATGGAAAAGACCCTCTGGAAGAGCTAAAACACGATGGTTGGGTGGCATGAGATACCTGTCCTTCCTACCCCATCCTACCTCATAATATGTCAGATTTGGCACAGGACAGAACATCACAGACATGCATAACACATTTGATGGCCTCTATGCTTTCCAAGTGACAGCATAAGAACCAGCCTAACCTCTGCCACTGAGTTCCTATGTGATGCTGGACAAATCACAAACAAACCAAACTTTTCACAGGCGGTCATTAATTGTGCGTTCCTCATTTCCTGGGTGCCCAACTTGAGACACATGGGACCTGAGTTGCAGAAATGTTGAGCACTCTCAGCTGCAACTGAAGTCAATGGATGCTGTGCTTTCAGCATATAATACTATGTACTTTAAAACCTCTCTGTAAGAGGGCCTTTAAGACAGTCTTTCCACCATAATACTCACAACATAAACACCCCTGTTATTCCCTAACCCCTACCAATTCCCCAAAGAATCCCAAAGCACCAACATCTTACCCCAAGCAGAGTGCTAGCCCCATAAAGGAAGAAGTGCCAGACATGCCATGAAATCTACTAGAGTCTTCGCTATTGCTCTCAATTTTATTGGAAGGTATTCAGACACTACAGTGATAGGAGGTGGTGTAACACTTTAAGATAGATAGGAAGCAAAATCAAGCACTAGGCATCTCAAGGCGGAAACCAATTTTTTGGGGGGCACTTCTTACCTTAATCTCTCTATGCCTAAATTTCCCTTTTGTAAAATAAATCTAGAGTGCACATATGCTCCCATTACTTAGAGTCTGAACACCTCATCTTCAACGTATTTAGCCTGACTAGGGTGACTATATGTCCCTTTTTGGCTGGGACGGTCCCCTTTTTCAGCTCTGTCCCTCCTTTTTCACTAAAACTGGGCAATTGTCCTTGATTTGTGCAGGCAGCACTGCCTTCAGAGATGTCCCCCTGCTTGGGTTGCCAGGCGTCCGGTTTTCGACCGGAGCAACCAGTTGAAAAGGGACACTGGCGGCTCCAGTCAGCACTGCTGACTGGGCCATTAAAAGTCCGATAAATTGTGCAGTGGGGCTAAGGCAGGGTCCCTACATGCCCTGGCTCCGTGCAGCCCCCAGAAGTGACTAGCATGTCCATGTGGCCCCTAGGCGCAGGTGCGATCATGGAAGCGTCACGCACTGTCCCTGCAGCTCCCATTGGCCAGGAACTGTGGCCAATGGGAGCTGCAGGGATGGCGCCTGTGGGCGCAGGCAGCGCACAATGCACACACTGCACAGAGCTGCCTGGCCACGCCTCCGCCTAGGTGCCGGACATAAAGGCCGCTTCCAGGAGCAGTGCAGAGCCAGGGCAGTCAGGGAGCCTCCCTTAGCCCCACTGACTGGGAGCCACCTGAGGTAAGTGACGCCTGGCCATAGCCTGCACCCCAACCCTCCTCCCCCGGTGGGAACCCCCTCCCACACCCAACCTCCCTCCCAGACCCCACACCTCACACCCACCATTGCCAACTTTCACGTGGTAAATAAGCTCCCTGACTTTCACAATAAGCCAAAAATCAAGCTAATCCCATTTCAAAACAAGGCCCAAACAAGCCAATTCCTAAGAACCCCAACACTCTATGTGACTAAATCCCCCCAGTGTGCAAGTCTGGGACTGTGGTGGGCCCGCTGTGCACCCCTGACTCTCTCCCCTCCTTGCTCCTGCTTGCCAGGAGCCAATCAGAAAAAGAAGCAACAAGCAACAAGCTACAAGCCAACAAGCATGTCTGCTCGCACCCCCTGCCAAATGTCGGAAACCCCTCCTGCACCCCAACCCCCACCCTGGGCCCCCTCCTGCACCCAAACTCCCATCTGGAGCCCACACCCTGCACCTCCTCCCACACCCAACCCCCTGCCCTAGCCCTGAGCCCCCTTCTGGAGCCTACATCCCGCACCCCCCATCCCCTCCCGCACCTTCTTCCACATCACAGAGATGCTGACAGAAGTAAGTGTTTAACACCAAGCATTTCAGGATTTTTTCTGAGGCAAGAACAGAAGCTGAAAAAGTTTTTGCCAGTGGGGGAGTGTTTGCTTATCACTCAGTGCAGCACGGACACACTTTCCGGTCTAGTGACTGTATATCACAATTAATTAGGAAATTGTACCAACCTATGTTTTCATCTGCTCATACAAAATCTAAGACAATTGTTTGCAACATCTTAGCCCCTTTATCCATTGAAGAAGTGCAGCTTGAGTTGGACAAGCGTTCCTTTGTTACACTTAGTGTGGATGCATCGAACAAAATGAAGCAAAAACTATTTGCTGTTCTTATATGGTATTTTTCTCCCACTGAGTGGAGTTTGCACAAAAATTATTGATTTTACGTCTCTACCTGGAGAAACATCAGATATGTAGTGTGCATTCATCCAGCAAGTGATTGAGAAGTACTCTTTTAGTGACAAGATTGTTGGAATTTGTGCAGACAACACCAATACTAACTTTAGGGGTGCCAGACATTGTGGGAAAAACAATTTGTGGCAAAAGCTCCAGGCCAACTTAGTAAAAGATCTTTGGTATTGGGTGTGGTACACACATTGTGCACAACTTCCTCCAAACTGTAGTTGACTATCTTCCTTTAGATGTGGAGAGCTTTGCTGTAAAGGTTTACAAATACTTTCAAATCTACAGGGTGTGTGTTGAAGAGCTGAAAGACTTCTGTTGATTTGTTGAAATCGAGTATACCAAATTACTAGAGCATGGCAGCACATGATTCCTCTCATTGGGACCAGCAATATACAGGATTTTGTTTATTGTTGATGGGCTTAAAGCGTATTTTCTTTCTCAAGATAAATGCCCGACACTGCTCAGGAAGCTCTTTGATGATCCTGCCACTCAACTGTGGCTTCTATTTGCCAGCAAACAAACTGCCATGGTCCAAACCATAACAGAGATGATAGAGTGACAGAAGTTGCACTGCAAATACGTTCCCTGCACATTAACTTATCGGAGAGGCCTAGAGAAAGATTTGTCACAACAGAAGTGAAGAATCTACTGCACGCTTGTAAAACACGGGCAAATGAAAGAAAAGGAGTTTTATGATATAGTTGACAATTTTTACACAACATGCCTGTCCTACTTAGAGCACTGGAGACCTGCCTTTGAGTGCACCGAAAAGTTTGAGTGGGCTCTGGTGAAGAATATGCCGCAGTGGGAGCAAATGCAAGACAGCCTCGCTGCATGCCACACCAGAATTCCCACCTTAAATAAGTTGGATGCGAATCATCTCTTTCATGAGTAGTCCAGTGCAAAATCAATTGTCTCCAGTTGTCTTTCAGCCTGGAACCATCAGAGAACACCCGTCACTGAAAGGAGGCAGAAGATTTTTCGAGAGATGGACCATAATGCAGTACAATACACAGATCTAGCCAAGGCCGTGGAATTTGTGCTGTGTCTGCCTGGTACTACTGTGCCTGTTGAACGTGTCTTTTCAATTATGAATGATGTGTGGTCTCCTGAAAAATCATGTCTGAACATTGCCACCATGAAGACTGTCTTGCGTGTGCGAGTTAACGCTTCTCTAGATTGTACTGCATTCTACGATAAGTTGCTGATAGACAAGAAAACCCTCAAAAAAATAGCATCATCAAAGAAATACAACTGGTGTCAAGCAGCTTCACACCTGAAGAATGGCAAGACAAAAAACAATGCCAGAAACTACTGAGTTTTAAGTAAAATATATGAAACCATGAAATATATGAACATATATATAAAATATATGAAACTGCCTTATCTTTTTTGCGTTCTGTAAGTATACTCCCCTGAGCACTGACAATCTCTTACTTGGTGTTCTATTTTCAGTTTAGGGAAATATGGTCACCCTAAGGCTGACAACAATCTGTAGACCAGTAAGCTTAACCTTGGAAATTAAGCCCTGGTCTACACTACGAGTTTAGGTCGGATTTAGCAGCATTAGATCAGTTTAGCCTAGCACCCATCCACACTACGAAGCCATTTTTTCTGACTTTAAGGGCTCTTAAAACCAGTTTCTGTACTCCTCCCTGACGAGTGGATTAGCGCTGAAATCAACCTCGCTGGGTCAAATTTGGGGTAGTGTGGACACAATTTGACGGTATAGGCCTCCGGGAGCTATCTCAGAGTGCTCCATTGTGACCGCTCTGGGCAGCACTCTCAACTCAGATGCACTAGCCAGGTAGACAGGAAAAGCCCCGCAAACTTTTGAATTTCATTTCCTGCTTGGACAGTGTGGTGAGCTCATCAGCAGAGGTGACCATGCAGAGCTCTTCAGCACAGGTGATCATGGCGTCCCAGAATCGCAAAAGAGCTCCAGCATGGACCAAATGGGAGGTACTAGATCTGATCGCTGTATGGGGAGATGAATCCGTGCTGTCAGAACTCCGTTCCAAAAGACGAAATGCCAAAATATTTGAAAAAATCTCCAAGGGCATGAAGGACAGAGGCTATAGCAGGGACCCGCAGCAGTGCCACGTGAAACTTAAGGAGCTCAGGCAAGCCTACCAAAGACCCAGAGAGGCAAACGGCCGCTCCGGGTCAGAGCCCCACACATGCCGCTT